GTGCATTGCAGCCCGTCCGCGGCGCATTGGTTGTTGACTGAGCGTGTCGCGTGTCGCGTGGTGTGGCCACCCTCTCCGGCGCGTCGTTTCAGCGACGGTCGAATGTGGGCCTCTAATTTGATGGCCTCGCATTGTGTTACACTGGTACACTGCACAGTTCCGCAGAAAGCGCGAGAGAGAGAGACAGAGCGCCGAGCCCTGGAACGTGTTTTCGTGACAAGTCATAAATCCCGCAGGCCATCCGTCGTGCCTTACAGCTTGCCTTACAGTGCCGCGGCCCGGCCGCTGTCGATGCCATCTCATTATGGCTGCAGAATAAATCAAATCCATCATTCACAACAAAGAGGTATTTGGATGCAAATTTAATACCAATTCGTCACGATGACGTCACCGAGGCGAGACAAGCCGCCTGGATGGCGCACAGTGGGAGGCCGGTGTAGGCGGTCGAAACTCCTGACGCGTTTCGAGCTCCAGAGTCGCTAACCAGGACTCGAACTATGAACGTGTGACCCCACCAATGGACTCCTCATTGGTGGGGTCACACGTTCGGTTCGAGTCCCATTCAGCGACTCTGGAGCTCAAATCGCGCCCGGGATTTTGACCGCCATTCGCCTGGACATTCTCTCTCACGACTCTTTATCTTTATCACGGCCTAGCGCCGTTTAATTAGTGTGCGACTTTGGTCTCACCAATTATAAATATCCTCGGAGCGAAAAGTGGCCATGACAAATTCGCAAAGTCGACGAGAGTCGCCTGCTCGCGTCCAAATGCTCGATTCACGTGCTTGCCCCACAAACGCCTGAGAAGCCGGAACTGGACTGCCCCTACACTGTGGAGGTACCCGAGACGCGTAAAAGCGGAAGCGATATGGAGGGGGAGGGGGGGAGAGGGAGTGGTCTCGCAGCACCGCAAGGAGAACCACTCCCGTTTGTGCTTCCCTCATTACTGACGTAAAACTCATTAAAACGAATTCGCGGCGCGGGAAAATAAAAACAGATGAAAAAAAATATATATTCTTGTAAAGCATATATAGAGGACCGTGGTACTCGCGGCAGCAGGGCGGCACTTGTTCGGGCCGCCGACGCGTTTCGGCCTCGGCGCCCAGAGACTGCGGGGTAAAGAGAGAAAGCAGACGTTCGACCGCGCGCCAACCGCGAGGCCCCGCCGAGTCGTCGCTCTGTCTCCCTCGCACTCACGGGGCGTGCCGGGGCGTGCCGTACAGGTGCGAGAGAGACAGAGCGACGAAAAGGACTCTCGCGGGGCGGCAGGCTTGCGTGAGCGACGATTTCGCCCGGCATTCCAATTTGCAGACGTTCCCCTTGTCATTAAGGGGCGCACCCATGAAGCATCAAAATTGACACACAGATGCAAAATCATGTGTAATTTTCAAATCTTTTTTAAAAGAATTAATATTTCGGAGAGGGTTTTACTCATCCTGTATTGCGTTGGTGCCAATAAGTGTGTCACGCATCGGTCACGCATTTCACTAATGACTCGAGATGTTGAGAGCTTCAGTGTGGGGAACAGAGGTCAAATGACACCCTTCCCCTCCCCCTCCCCCATCCCTCCCTCGAGCTCCCCGAAACCGCCCCTGCGGTGCACCACTCAGTCACAGAGAGCTGAGTAGATTGAATGGAAAGGGGGGGGGAGAGAAGGTCCACTGGCCCACTGGCGCTCTGTGAGTGTGTGTGTGTGTGTGTGTGTCAGTCTGTGGCAAATAGACCATCTTCAAACGCAGCCTCGCGGCCTCGCGGCGATAAAAGTCCCGAACCTGTCGTGGAGACGGGGGCGGGATGGGGAGGCACACTGTGTGGTTTTACCGCTTTTTACCGCTTTTACCGGCTTTCCCGCCCAAGGCACGGCGAGGCTCGGGGAAACGAGAGCAGACGGCCGCAGCGAAGTGTCTTTCTTTTCTCTTACTCCTCGTTTACTCATTATTTATCGCATAACTCGAAAGAATTGGGGTGGTATAATTTTTCGAACTGCTGCTTTTTCTGCGATGGTTTAACATCCTGAAAAGCTCCTGTTTTTTTGTGTTTTTTTTTCGCTTTGTCAAATTAATTGTTTTTTGTTTTTTTGGGTCGGCAGTGGCCGCAACAGCTGGACAGAAAGACACTGGTGGACACTGGCCGCCGGTGGCACCGAAGGGGGTGGACCTCCACTCTGGAAATCGGACACAAACGGTTCAGAAAACAACAGTAATAGAATCAAAATGTCACCGAAAAGTAAAGTACAAAGAATTCAAGTTGTTTTACTCTCCACAGGCACACAGACAGACAGACAGGCAGACAGATTGGCATACATGCAGACATACAGACAGACAGACAGACAGACAGACAGACAGACAGACAGACAGACGGACATACAGACAGACGGACGGACAGAGGGCCGGGCCACTCTGCGGAGGGATTGACACGATGCCCGCGAGGCTGCGTGAGGCCGGTGAATGATTGATAGTGGCTGCCCCGGCCTGCCCCGGCTTTCGGGGCTTTACGAGCGCACCCCGCGGACACCTTGGCCCTGATGGCGGCGTAACGGCGTCGTAAGGAGCAGTGCGGAGCAGTGTAGCGGAGCCGGAGGTCCGGCGGGACGCGGCAGACTGATTCCGAGCGTCGTCTTCGTCGCTCCCTCTCTCTCGCACTCATAGGGCGTCCGGTATAGGTGCGAGGGAGACAGAGCGACGAAAACGACTCTCAGCCTGCAGGCGGCAGGCTTGCTGCCACACCTGGAAGGGTCGCACGGGGACCGCGGCCGGCCAATCAGGACGCTCCATTTCGTGCGGTGTTTGGAATTTACAGTGCCGGGCCGAGGGCCCCACCGCGTGTCGCATGCTCACTGGGAGACAGACAGAGGAGGAACGCTGCACAGTGGGCCAGAAGACCGGTGGAGGCGACCAAAACTCTAGTCGCGTTTTGGGCTCCAGAGTCGCTGAATGGCACTCGAATGGAACGTGTGACCCCACCAATGGATTGCTCTCCGAACGATCAATCCATTGGTGGGGTCACACGATCGGTTCGAGTCCCATTTAGCGACTCTGGAGCTCAAAACGCGACTGGAGTTTGAGCCGGCGGCGGTGTGCGTGGCGGGGCGCGCGCTGGTCCTTCCCCGCCTCCAAGCACGGCGTCCTGGGCACGCCCTGGGCACGCCCTGGGCACGCCCTGGGCACGCCCGGCCGCCTAATCACGTTTCCGGCGCAGGAAATGACATCCGAAGGCAAGGCAACCTGACGGCCGAAACACGAGGAAGCAAGGCCAGCAAGGCCAGCAAGGCGTTGGAGTGGGGCGTCTGCCGTTTCTGCGAATTAAGAGCGTAGGCCAAGGGGCAGGCAGAGGCAGGTGCGCCACCGGTAGAAAGAAAAAGACAGAGAAAGGGCGGAACACGTTTGGTCAGTCTTTTTTTTTCCTGAGAGGGACCGTCTTTAGCTGAAGTCGCTTCGACCACCGTGGAACAGTGGGCCAGAAGACCGGTGGAGGCTGCCAAAACTCTAGACGCGTTTTGAGATCCAGAGTCACTAATCAGGACTCGAACCGAACGATTGACCGTACCAATGGATTCCTCGTCCAGAGAGCGATCTATTGGTGGGGTCACACGTTCGGTTCGAGTCCCATTCAGCGACTCTGGAGCTCAACACGCGTCAAGAGTTTCGGCCGCCTCCACCAGTCTTCTGGCCCACTGTGCGCGGCGTCGCTGCAGTGACAACCCGTTTCGAAAAAGGAGGCGGTTGGGAATGCCTAAACAGCAGCCCCTTCTAATGCCTGCATCATGTATATCCGCGGTGGGGCGGGGGGAGTGTTTAGAGCCCCCCGGGGGGTGCTCACCCCAGAGCTTCTTCAAGAACGGGGGTGGGGGTGTACATGTGTTGTACACACGGCAGCCACGCCGGAGCGCTGGAAGCCTGGAAGGGGGTCAAGGATGCGACGCCGGGGATGATCGAGGAAAAGGGGGAGGGGGTGGGGGAGGCTTAATCCACCGAGCGGGGCAAAAACACGTCGACCCGGTGAATACCCCTCCAAGGCGCTGACACAAGCAGTGCACCACCGCAACTATCTCCGGGACTCCGGGTCCGAAAGCCGCGGCAAAGCACGCCAAAGCCTCGTTAGTTACAGATTCCACAGTGCTCTGTCTCTCTCGCACCTCCACGAGAGGCACCGCGAGCGCGACGGAGACGAAGCTTCGTGGTTCACGAGAGAGACAGAGCTACGAGGTTCGCTCTCATGACTTGGCGGATTATTTTGCGCAACATTTACATCCGGGGTGGGCCCGCAGACTGTTTCTGTCTCTCTCGCCCTCGTGGGGGAGGCGGGGTATGGAATTTTGACCGCCTCCGCCCTATTTAAAATTCATTGTTCCTTAAAGATACCTAAAAGAAATGTCCTTTGTATTATGGAGGGAATCTCCAGGATAGTATGTTGGTGCTGCCTGTCCTGTCACCGCCAGACATTTTGAGTGTGAAGCATGGGCGAGGCGAGGCCCTGAGAGTCTGGATGTCGTCTGCTGGCCTGAGATGGGATTACAGGTCCGCTCGTGAGCTGGTCCGCCAGGGCTTGCCTCTGCAAGCTCATTCCGAGAATCCTCTACGTCGCTCTGTCTCTCTCGCACCTACACGGGACGGCCGATGAGTGTGAGAGGCAGAGCGACGACTGTCGGAACGAGTCTGCAGCCGCCCCCCTTAAAGGCTGCCCGACCTGCTCCGTGTGCTGCTAATGACTTCCGGGGGAGGAAGGGACTGGACTTGGGCCTAGACTTTCGGCCCCGCCCGCTACGCCTCGAAACTGGCGCGGAATTGGCGGGAAATTTGAATCGTCCCGACGTTGAGTCGATAAGACCACTCAATCGTCATTCCCAACCAATGTTCCAAATTTGGGATTTGGACAAATATCCCTCTTTTTGGACAAGACGCCCGAAAAAATCACCATGCGTCCAGATCAATTTTTTTTTTTAAATTGGCTTGTTGTAATTTTTTGACTAATCATGTTTCACTTTTCTCTGTTTCTCCCCAGCCGAGCCCGGGTTCCTGCTGCAGTTGGACTTCCGGGACACGTTCCACATCGAGCCGTCGGAGGGCTGCCGCTTCGACTACCTGGAGGTGCGCGACGGCGCGCACGGCTACTCGGCGCTGCGGGGCCAGTTCTGCGGCCAGACCTTCCCGCCCATCCTCACGTCCACGGACCGCTACCTGTGGCTGCGCTTCCACTCGGACGAGAACATCGAGTACAGCGGCTTCAAGGCGGTGTACCGCACCGTGCCCAGGCCCGAACGTGGTGAGCTATACTCTCAACCAACACAGTGGGCCAGGTGGTCGAAATCCCGGACGGGTTTTGAGCTCCAGAGTCGTTAAATAGGACTAACCGAACGTGCGGCCCCACAAATGGATTGGTCTCCATACAAGGAATCCATTGGTGGGGTCACACGTGTTCGATTCGAGTCTGGAACTCTGGAAATCAAAATGCGTCAAGATTTTTGGCTGCCTGTGAACCCGGAATTTGCCAACGGTCGTAGGCATTTTTCTTTCACAAAGTTTCCACAGAAAAAAGTCCTGTGATATAAAGGTCATGGAAGTTTCCAGATTTCCAAAGACGTGACAGACTCCATAAAAAAAGCAAAAATATAAAAACAAAATTCTGGAAACTGGCGCGTACTATGTCATTCGCCTTATTGCCTTGTTTGATACCTTTGTTTTTTTGGCGTGTTTTAGATGTGCCACCTCCCATGGAGATGTGCTACTTCAACATCACGGGCATGGCCCAGGGCTACATCAACAGGTCGGACATCGACCGCAACGACCCGAACCGCGTCAGCATGTCACTGGAGCACAAGATGCCCATCGACTGCATGTGGGTCATCCAGGTGGACCAAGGCTGGAAGGTATTTCAATAATTATAGAGTTTTTAAAAAATATAAGAAAACTTTTCGGGAGGGCTTTGACGCGATTCTGGCCTCTGGCACTCGGGTTACTTCAGCCATGAGAGAAGGGTCCCCTTTGACTCTTGCTTTTTATTATTTTGCTCCAAGGCGACCCCAGCGTAAATTTTCAAGGTAGAGACTTTAAAAAAATGAAGCGGATTGGGGGCGCCGTTTCGCACTCTAGTTTCTAAGTTCCATGGCCTACTCGGCAGGAGACCTATTTTCAGATTATTGAAGATCAGAAATCAGGAATTTTCTGATTTCAGGATGTCAGGATCAGGATTTTTTCTGATTGACAATCAGAAATGTGAAACAATTCCTGATCGACAATCAGAAATCAGAGATTCGGACAGTCAAAATTCAGAAAATCAATCAGGAAAATCCTGATTTCTGATTTGAAACCAGAAATTCAATCAGGAAAATCCTGATTTCTGATTTGAAATCAGAAATTCAATCAGGAAAATCCTGATTTCTGATTTGAAATCAGAAATTCAATCAGAAAATCCTGATGGCATTTACACCATTTTTTCTGAAAACAAACGAGTGAAACTAACTGTCACAGTCTCACCTGGGTTGCTCTTCTCATTTTCCAGATCAACCTCAACTTCATCACGTTCAAGCTGGACAAGCCCAACGACTGCGAGTCCAACTTCGTGGACGTGTTCTCGACGCGGACGGACCTCCCGTCGCGGCTCAAAAACTTTTGCGGTTCGATCGCCGATTCGGTCACCTCGGAGCTCAACGTGCTGCACATTCGCTTCTACGCGGACTACAGCGCCAAGAACAGCAGCTTCGAGTCGCTGTTCACGGCCTTCCGGGAGAGGAGCACTGGTAGGTCAAGTCCAGGTCTCCGTGGCGGTCGGGGCGCCTGCGAGGTAGGCACCTTGCGAACGCCGCTGCTGGGCGGGCCGGCCTACCCGCTGCACGGCAGGCTGACGGCGGCGGTGTTCAGGGTCGCCCTCGTAGAGTCTCTCTCTCTCTCTCTCTCTCTCTCTCTCTCTCTCTCTCTCTCTCTCTCTCTCTCTCTCTCTCTCTCTCTCTCTCTCTCTCTCTCTCTCTCGCCGAAGGGCCAAAACTGGACGCGTTTTAAGCTAGAGTAGCTAAAAGGTATCGAGCCGAACTTGTGACCCCACCAATGGATTACTCTCCCAACGAGCAACCCGTTGGTGGGGTCACACGTTCGGTTCTAGTCTCTTTTAGCGAATCTGGAGCTCAAAACGCATCGGTAGTGAGGAGGACAACTTTTTTGACGGTCCCTGTCCGGTGCTGCAGGGGCGTGCGACCCTGAGACGGAGTACGACTGCGAGGACAACAGCTGCATCGCCAAGGAGCTGAGGTGCAACGGCGTGCACAACTGTCGCTTCAAGTGGGACGAGGAGGAGTGCAAGGTGGGTCGCTCTGTTCCGCTCCGCTCTGCCGTGGCTCTGCCATGGCTCTGCCTCCACGCCGTGTAGTGTTACGTTGGTGTTGCGAGTCGAGCCGAAAGGCGACACTGTAGACGCCATGCAAACGCCCACTTCCATGCATGCTTGCGTGTGTTTGTGTACGTTCCACAGTGGGCCAGAGACAGGTGGAGGCGGTCAAAATTCTGATCACGTTTCGAGATCCAGAGTCGCTAAAAGGGACTCGAACCGAACGTGTGACCCCACCAATGGATTGCTCTCCGAACAAGGAATCCATTGGCGGTGTCACACGTTCGGTTCGAGCCCTGTTCAGCGAAACTGGAGCTCAAAACGCGTCCAGAATTCCTCCGCCTGCACCGGTCTTCTGGCTGACTGTGTGTTCGCTGTGTTTATCTCCCAGCGCTTATTTTTGGTTTGTTTTGCCGTTCCAGCCCAAGTCGGGGTCGTTCGCGGACGTCATCACCAGCTCGGAGCAGCTCATCATCATCATGGTCATCTTCTGCCTGCTCGTGTTCGGCATGTGCTTCGCCTTCGTGTACAACTGCATCGGCAAGCTGCTGCGCGACCACAGGATCATCCAGGTACTGTACCAGCCAGTCAGGTATTTGAACCACTGTTTTAAAAGAAATAATACTTGGAAATCCCCAGATACCTCTTTAAAAATTTGCACCCGATTCCGAAACGTGGAATGTTTATATTTTGAATGGGTTTCCTGGAGGTATAGTAGTAGAAAAAAATGATGTTCTTTTTTTTAACACGAAGCCTCTGTAAAGTCCTGAAGAAGCTTCGGAACGCACTTAAGGGATTTCCCAATTTATTTGTAACAGTGAGTACTCCTCCAGAGACTTAGAGGCCGCCAGGGGCTTAACGTGTTTGTCGCCTTGTCGCTGCAGGAGCACATGCGGCAGTCGCGCGAGGACCGCCTCGACGAGATGGGCCGGAAGTCGCCGACAGTGAGCCGCCACTGCTCGCAGCACTCGAGCGAGCACGAGCTGGGGGCGGAGGACACGCCGACCACGCGGCGCCACCACCAGGACTGCTACCTCGCCGGTAAGCCACGCGCGGCACGCAGTGGGTTCGCCAGAAGACCGGTGGAGGCGGCCAAAGTTCGAGGCGCGTTTGGAGCTACAGAGTCCCTCAACAGGACTCGAAACGAGCGTGTGACCCCACCAATGGATTCCTCGTTCGGAGAGCAATCCATTGGTGGGGTCACACTCTCTGTTTGTGTCTGGAGCTCAAAACGCGTCCGGGATTTTGACCGCCTCCACCGGTCTTCTGTCCCGCATGTAGTAGCGCGAGGGTCGCTTCTACCGCATTCTTGCTTGATACACGAGAAATGGCCGTCGATACCCCGTGCGCAGCGCAAGGGATCTCGCAGTGTATTGCCTGGGGGTCGTCTCCCAGCCTCGGGGACAGTCTCTCCCGCGCGGGGTAGAGCTGAAGTGCCCTGGGAACTGCCGGTACATTGCCATGGCCACGTGAAGCAGAGGCGTAACTAGAAAATCCCTCGTAAAAGTGAACGGGGCCGTTGTAGAAAGGGTTAAAAACCACCAGACTGGATTAGCTCGCCGTGCTGGCATAAAGCACTCCATTGGCCAGCGCCAGATCTGGCCGGCAGCCAATCCGATTGGATCGTGATTCAATGCGGAATTGTCGTTCTGGCGCGGCCGCTTTTAAACGGTGCCACCCGAGTCTGCCTCACAGTGGGCCCTCCTGCACTGCGACTGCTTCGCTCTGTCTGTCAATACCCCTCGCGCGGATGGCCCGTGTTGAGAGTCTCTGGCGCGCGGAGTGGCCCCTCCACACAGCAACTGCCTCACTCTGTGAATACCCCTTGCGCGGATGCTGCGAGCTGAGAATCTCTGGCGCGCGGAGTACCGGCAGTGTCTCTTGGGGTGGACTGCCCCCGTTGTGCCAGAAGACCGGTGGAGGCGGCCTAAATTCCAGACGTATTTTGAGCTCCAGAGTCACTAAATAGGACTCGAACCGAACGTGTGACCCTCCCAATGGATTCCTCTTTCGGGGAGGAATCCATTGGTGGGGTCACACGTTTGGTTCGAGTCCCATTTAGCGACTCTGGAGCTCAAAACGCGTGTAGAGTTGTCCACCGGTCTCCTGGCCCACTGTGCGGAGGGTGCCCCGTTTCTGACTGTGCCTCACGCTTGCAGGCACGGACGACGCCATGCTGCCCATGCTCATCAACCGGGGGACGCTGCCGACGCCGCCGTCAAACGGCGACGCCATCTTCGTGCGCAACTCGAGCGGCGGCATGCTGACGCACTCGGCGCACTCGGTGCGCACGCACTCGGTGGGCTGCGGCAGCGTGGTGGTGGCCGACGTGGCCGACGCGGAGGACGACTCGGACACGCTGCCGTCCGCGCCGCTGCCGCTGCCGCCGCCGCTGCCCGAGATGCGGGACATGGAGTGCCAGACGCGGGAGAGCCTGTTCCACGCCAACGGCAGCAGCCTGAGCAACCACGAGCCGCTCACGTCGCGCTCCAACTCGGACCGCAGCTGCACGCCGCCGCCACCGCCGCCGCCCACCATCTCCCGCCTCGTCAACATGAAGAACAGCCGCAACTCGCCGCGGCCCGCGCCCTTCAGCACGTTCGGCTACGTGGACGAGGGCGCCGGCGCGGCCACGCTGTCGCGCAGGGGCCCGCCGCCCGCGCCCGGCCCCGCGCACCACCACCACCACCACCACCGCCACCTCCACGACGACCCCGGCATGCGCTTCCGTGCCGAGGCCGTCATCGAGATGGACCAAAAGAGCAGCAGCTCGTCGTCGGGCGGTGGCGGCGGCGGCGGCCCGGGGGCGCCGGGGGCCGACCGGCCTTTCAGCATGGACTCCACCAAGTCCGCCCCCGACGTCATCGTCACCCACTGACGCAGGTGCACCGCCGCGTGGGAGGCGTCCCGGCGGCGGCGGCTAGACCAGGACCACCAGGACCACCAGGACGTCATCGTGCACCTCGCCGACGTCGGTGACCTCGCGGACCTCGCGGACCTGACGGACAGCAGCGACGCCGGGGTGGGGCACGTCCGCGACCCCGTTCGCGACCCCGTCCGCGACGTCCGCGGGGCGTCGGCGGGCTCCGAGATGGAGTCGGGGCTGTCAGGGTCGGCGTCCCCGCCCTCGGCGTCACCGCCCCCCGCGCTGGGCGCGCTGGGCCCGCCCGCCGAGTTCTGCGACTCGCCGGTGCCCAGCCTGCCCGGCTTTTGACTTGCTTGCCCAGCGCGAGCCCTGGCCCCTGGCGCCCCTGGCCCGAGCCCCGGACTCCAATGTTTCTTTGTTTTGGGTTTTAAATGTAATTTATCAAATAAGGTCGTGCCAAGGGTGATGAATGGACATGGTCGCGTGCGGTCACTTTGACCGGACCGATACTGCTCTTTGGCCAGCCTCTATTTTCGCCATCGTGATTCGTCCAATGATTGCAGAAGTGATCCAACTCGGGTACAGACACTAAAGCAAGGAAATGGAACTAGTGCCACTTTGTTTAGATCAAACTGTGTGTTTATTATTTATGATGCTACAGAATCTTTTTTTCTACTGCCAGTTAGGTACTTTTTTCTGCGGTGCTGATTAAAGTTAGTTAATGTTTTTCTAGTCTATTGTCTGTTCAATTATTGAGCTATGTGAAGACAAACTGATGTGAACTGTGATCATCTGCAGAAGTGTTGCTTTTACTGTTCGTTTCTCTATCGTCTCTAAATAGGCCCAGGTGGCATAAGGAGATCAGGGTTTCGCCAAGCAAGAGGTGTGACTCTGCTCCAGTTGATTTTCTTTTAGTTTTAACAAGTGAGTGCATCGAGTTCATCCTCATCATTTTATTTTCTTGTCATTCTGTGCTCGTACAAACATATCGTTCAAGTCAAGATAGAAAGAAATAGTGTAAAAACATGCACTTGGCAGAGTAAATTTTAACATGTTGGTGTTTGTAATCATGATCAAAACTATAATATGTAATTCTGATCTTCATTTTGAAAAGCGTACAGCAAACACCACCTTAAGTATGGGTCAAAATTTTGAAGCTATCCTCTACAAGCATTTCTGCGTTCATGCAGCATGCAAATTAAAGTGGTATTTGCGGGTATTTGTGAACCGATGAGTTTGTGAACATGACTTATTACACACTGTCAGCCAAGTGTATGCATGGGTAACCAGGAAAAATAATGCAAGATTATTGTGCATTAAATGGTCTGTTTTTATACTCAATATTAACGCATTGTCATTACATCCATTGCAGAAACAAAAGGCTCCTTGAATAAAGCATTAAAACCTTGGATATGTGTCTCACTTGCTCTTGCCTCTTTGTTCCATACGTATGGTAAAATCAATGGTTTACGACCATTTAGGCTCTAAACAGTCTTTTTCTGGCGAAAAAACTGCAATCCTTCGAGCCCGCGCCGATGTAGTAGGCAACCCACCGCGCACCCAAACCAAGCGTCTCGGGAAAGGCCATTTTCACAGCAAATGAAATGTGTCAAAGAGCGTTGAGCACCAGGCATCTGTTTCTCATACCCAAAGCAACGTTCCATGTGAATTTTAGACGAATCGGAGGTGGGTCATAGAGCGACCGCCTGCGACCGACCGACCGACCCACTGTGAGGGCACCATTTGAAGTATTTTAACAACTTGTAAGATGTTACTGCAGGATTAGGGCTGTTTGTTGTACAAAGGAAAAACACAAGTTTCTTTTTTAAATTTGGTTTCATAAACATTTTATTTTCATTCATAAAATTAATAACTTAAAATCACTGGACGATTTTTGTTTTATAGTCAAACGAAAAGAACTTAATGCAGAGATCACAGCCTGGAAAAGTATGTGAATATTTACATGTGTGAATGTTTCCCCCCTCTCCCCTCCCCAACATTTTCAAACACAAATAGCAGGAGCTCAACATCCTTGTTTGTGTCTGAACCATTCTTATCAAAAAAATATATTTCATCATATATAAAGGCGGATTTTTTTCTTTTTGAGCAAACAGACAATATGGTTTGAAATTACAGAAAGGACTTCTAAGGTGTCTTGCACCTCTCTAGTTTTATGTGTTGAGGCACTAATATATATATATATATATAGGTTGCAATTGCTATAACCAGAAAGCTTGTACTTGAATGGTGTTAGGTTAACGGCATGTTTCTTCAAACCTTGACTTTCATTTTCGTCATAACAATATTTGAAGAACACACAGATAAAATAAAAATTAAGGAAAAAAAAATTGAATCTACACTTTTTATGAGTTTAACAGCCTCAGGGTCAGCGCTAAGCTAACTCCCATATCAAATCTTTACACATACTTTTTTAAATGTCAAATGTACACTACTAATTACACAGTTATAGATGTTACTTTTATGTACATATAATAATTTGTATAGGTCTATATATTTATATATATATTATTTTTATATATATACATATATATATTTATATATATGGTAGGTACCTTGGACTAAAGTTCAAAACACTTTCTGTACAAAACATATACAGTGAGCGGAGGGTGACAGTCAACTTTCTACAGCTAACAATGCCACATTGGGCTACGAGCTTTATCATCCAGACAAGAGAAACAATAATAATTTTTTAAAATCAAACTTTTTTTCTGATGTTCAGAATAAGAAAAAAAAAAACAATTTTTTTGCAACAGCAACGTAATAGTACTTGTTGGTAACAACACACGTTACAAACATAAAACTTGTAATTAAGCACTAACCTAAACAATAAGTTAAGTTAACCAAACTTTCCTTTTTCCCCAAAAATTTGGTTAAGTTATACTTATTTCACTCAAGTTCTTAAATAATCGATCCTTCAGCAGACATAACAACAGAATCACAGTGACAGAAACATGAAAGATGCATTTATATACGTCACTTCCACTTTCAATCATTTGGTCGGACTGAGCCGGAGTCAACATCACAGCTACATAACAACAGCCTGACTGGCTCAAATAAATTTCCGTACATGACAAAGAAGAGCATTACATTATGTTAAACTTAGTTACAGAACAAATATTTTAAGGCAGATTCTTAAATTACTTCTCTCTAAACAACAAAATCTCCAAATGTTGTTGCAAGTGTTGAATGAGGCTCATTCAACCAGAGAAACTAGCATAAAAAAGCACAATTTTCATAAGCAAACCAAATTTTTTGCAAGTATCTTTAGCATGTTCAGCTCCAAGTGGTAACTTAATATGATGCCCTTGGATCCTCTTGCTCCTTTAGTTTGCCAGTCAAGATATAAAGGAGGTTGCAAATGGTCATAATAAGAGACTATGGAACTACATGCCCACCTCCAACCCAACACATTTGCATCATCCATAGTGTCATACATATTCTGCAATGGATGGTGCAAGTATGTTACAGGTTCCATAGTATCTTAGGATGACAAAATTTATTGTTTTTATTCTGATGGTGGAGCACAAGACTACAAAAATGCTACCAGATAGTATTGCAGGCATACTGCATAGCAAAAGGACCAGACTGAAACGCTTTAAAAAGATCCATGAAGCAAGGGCATCTTGTACAGAGTACAGCTGAGATCAATAATATAAAATCTTTTCGGGCAGCTGAAGTTCTCAAACAACTAATCTGAAAATCGTCTACTAAAGACTAAGTTGAATACATGGCTTTCGATAATTAGTCTAGTAGGAATAGGGGCGTAGTTTGGTCAAAAATGTCTAATTAGGTTGATTTCAGGGTCAATTTCAGCTCGGTGTTAACGACTGAACTCAAACCTACACGGTGGCAATGATGATGAGTAAATGGGCCAGGTTGGCGACCCTGTGGAAAAGGTCAGGTGCGATACGCGCCAAGCTCTCATTGGCGAATTCACACGACGGGAAGACGTGAACCACATAAGCAGCCTGTAAACAAACCAGAAATAAATACACAATGCTTGATTTTGAAGACAATATTCAGCCACAAACTAAAGGATAAGGCTGAAAACTCACCTGCTGCGAGCCCGGAGCTGCGATGTTGACGATGCCCGCGGCTTGCTTCTGCTGCAGGTAAGTAATGAAGGCAGTCTGCAGGTTGTTGGACTGCTGCAACACGTCCATGGTGTCCCTGCCGCAGGGCAGCGCCAGCAGCATGCAGTGCTCGTTCTCGGTCTGCATCTTGCGGGTCACGCCGTCGATCTGAGTCTGCTCCAGACGCATCCTCTGCGCGATACGCAGCGGCGGCGTGGTGCCGTCGCTGTTGCACGGCAGCGAGCCGCGCGCCACGATGGGGTTGCCGAAGACGAAGTGCATCTGGACAGCCGCCTGGTCGTTCTTCAGAGCGAGAAGCCCCTGCCACATCACTGGGTACCGCTGGAACCAAACAACAAAACGACAGGGTCAGATTCCGTCAGGGCAGTCAGAGTACGGCGTCCGTAGAAAACAGGTAAAAGGGAGCGCGATTTACAGCTTTGGCCGTCATTTGTCAAACTGAACAACACCTACCTGTAGCAACATCATGAGGGAGTCATGCTGCGGCGGCCCCTGGTTGGACAGCGGCGGGCTGGACAGCGTGGGCCTGGCCACCGAGACGGTGGACGACGACTCCGAGCCGGCCGGCGAGTGGTTCAAGGGCACGGGCACGGTGGCGGCAGCGGTGGACGCCGGCGTCGGGTGCAGCGCGTGCGCGGGGACGGCCCTGGCCGCCACGGCGTGGATGTGGGCGCCGTGGGCGGGCGGCGGGTCCTCGCCCGGGTAGAAGCGCGAGGCGGCTGCCGCTGCCGCCGCCGCACCGTAGTGCGGCATGCGGTACACGGTGGCCACCTGCGGCGAGTCCGTGGCGCGGTCCAGCGCGTGCGGCGACTGCAGGCCGAGTGCCGTCGTGATGGTGGTGATGGTCGTGGCGCTGGCGGGGCGTCGCAGCTCCAGTGGCGGGCTGCTGCCGGGCGGCGCCGACCCGCGCCCTGCCACCGCCTCCTCCGGGTCGGGCTCGTTCTTTGGCACGATGGGGCTGCGCGGCGGCGGCACCACGGCACCGCCGGCGGACGCGGCGGCCAGGTGGTAGGGCAGCAGGCTCTCGCCGTGCGCGGCCTGAGCGGCCTGCGCGCGGAGGTACTGGTACATGACGTTGTGGACGTACTGGGTGCCGGCCACGGGGTGCGGGTGTTGAGACAAGTCGTGCACGCCAGGCGGGGTGGCGCGGACCAGGTGGGGCGCGTAGGAATGCTGCACGCCGTCGCCCTGCCAGAACAAGGAAAAACAGGGTTAGCGGGGCGAGGTAAAGGCCTATCGCAGCAAATGGTGGAGGGGAACGACAAAGTAACTTAACGTGTCTCTCAAAACTAAACAAATTTTGTCAATCGAAAGGAATGAAGCTTTACTAAGTAAGACTGCTAAACACAGATCCTTACCAGAGGCATTGCTAGAGGAGACAACAAGCTAGAGGACTTGACATTCGCTTCATCTCTAAGGGACACTGGTATTGTTGAGGAATCGGATTCGACCTGCAAGGACCCCACGTATGAAATAACTTGGGTGGAGGACAACCATTGCCTGATTGACACTTGTAGGATGGGGAACTTGACGTGACAGGGATGGCCAGGAAAGCGGCGCGTCAAGGGGCTTACCTGAGCCTTGGCCGCTGGCTGCGGCTGTGCCAGGGTGGACAAAGGCACCACGGTGGTCCTGAGGTTGGAGGTGCCGGCGATGAGGGGCTGCGGCGCCTTGTGCAGCGGCGGGCTGGCCACGGCCCCCGTGAAGGGCTGCGGCTGGGGCTGCTGCTGCCCGGCGCCATGGACGAGGTGCGTCTTGGCGGGCTGGACGAGCGACAGCGGCGCGTTGGACTTGACGCCCAGCGCCATCGGCTGCGTCTGCGGCTTGACGGTGGAGGCCAGCATGTGGCCGGGCGCCTGCACCACCACGCCCTGCGGCACGCCTTGCTGGGCAGGCTGCGGCACGGGCAGCGCCACGCCGAGCGGCGCCGCAGTCGCCTTGTTCTGGTTCACGACGGACTGCAGGATGTGCGCCTTGGGTGTCATTGGCGTCACCGTGGCGGACTTGTTGAGGACGACCGGGCTGCTGCGAGAAAAACGTCGAGATTAGTCCGAGTTCACCGAGCGACGGTAGGAACAGACGGGTGGGGGACCAAACTTACCTTGCCTGCACCGCGGACACGTGGTTGATCTTGGTCATGTTGGCGGGCAGCGTGGTCTTGACGGCCTGGTTCTGGTTCTGCGGGAGGTGCGCCACCGCCTGCAGCAGGTGCGCCTTGGGATTCAGGGGCTGAGTGGAGATCTGCTTCATGACGGGCACCGCGGGCGCGGCGGGCTTGTTGGCCACCGACACGCCGATCGGACCCTTCCCGGCTCCCACCAGGGGCACGGCGTTCACCGCGTTCACCGCGTTCACGGAGCTGGCGACGACTCCGGGCTTGGGCGTGGTCACCAAGGGCACCGGATGGGATGTGGTCGCCCCCTTGAGAATCATGTCACGCGGCTTCTGCGGCTGCCCGACCACCACGTTGACGTTCATCTTGGCGTCGGGCTGCACCACGCACACCTTGGCGGCCTGCGGGACGGCCGGCACGGCGTTGGCTTGGATGGGCGCTACCAGCAGCTTGGGCTGTTCCTGCGCCGGCAGCGTGCCGGGCTTGGCGTACACCACTGGCATGGGCACGCCCGGCACGCCCGGCACGGCCTTCTGTGGAAGCGGCGCCTGCTGGATCTCCTGCTTGGCCTGCTGCAGCACGTGCTGCTTCAGAGTCTGCATCGGCTTCACCGGCACCGGCTGACCCTGCCATGTGGTGGTGCCGTCTTGGTTGGGTGTGGCCGACTGTAACAAAGGGAGACACGCAAGGTTAGAGCCTCCCCTCCAAGGCGTGACGTGCAGAAGAAGCTCGAAGTGGACACTTACCTTCCCCATCATGATGATGGGCTGCTTGGCTGCGCCGGGCACCGGGACGTACTGGCCCTCTTCGGCCTCCTGCATGGGGATCAGCACGCCCGTCTCGGGGCAGATCATCATTGTGGGCTCGCTGGAGTCGGCCGGGTCGACCCCGACGAGGCCTGCCAGGCGCCGCTTCCTCTCGCGTTCCTCTCGCTCCTTCTCCTTCTCCTTCTCCAGCACGCGCGTGCTCAGCTTGCCGGGCGCCTTGAGTGTCGTGGTGGCCGCTGCCACGGCGGACGCGGCGGATGCCGCCATGTCGGCGGTGGACGCCGCGGCCTGCGATGGCGGCGAGGCTTGCGTGGGCGACGCGGTGGAGCGCGCGGGGCTGGGACTCTGCGTACGCGGGGCCGCCTCGGCGGGCTGCAGACAAGGAGAGACATGAGTACCCTGATCCAACCACGGCAGCAGGCTTTCGTTTGGCGTGCTGATGCTTACCTTCTTGGTGTCTTCGCTGGCCGAGTCCTGGTGATCGGACAGCGAGCCGCGGCGCGCCGCCGCAGTGCTTGAGGCTGGAGCTGCGTTGGTCGTGGCTGCAGTAGCAGCAGTGGTTGCGGCGGTTGCGGTGGTTGCGGTGGCAGCGGTCTTGCGTGAAGCCCTTGGTGACTTCCTGGGCTGCTCGGGCGTGGTCGCCTCGAGTCCGCGGATGGCCTGTCGGGTGGTGCGCCGCGTGGCAGGCGCTGGGGCTGGTGGCGTGGCCGGAGCCACTGCTGAGGCCGGGGCCGCTGCAGGGGCTGGGGACACGGCCTTGCCCCCAGGGGCAGTCGCGGCGGCCGTGGCGGGGGCTGTGGCCGGGGCTGAGGTGGTGGCCGGCTGGTCCGAGGCCGCGGAGCGCGTGACGACGGCGAGGTTCCTCACCTGAGAGAGGGAAGACTGTGAGGCTCGTTTAGTGTGCCCGTGGGTTAGTGGCATGCACAAAGGGGTTAGATAGGAAAAGGGCGCGTTGGACGCTTCGCTTACCACGTCATCGATGATGTCGTCCACCGTGCTGCGGGACCCGTCCTTCTCCTGGAGACGCCTGGACTTGCGGGTCGACGCCGTGGACGCCGCGGCCGCCGATGTAGCAGGGGCGGCGGAGGTAGCCGCCGGCACAGCCGAAGGCGACTCCTCGCGAGTCTCCCCGGCGGCGGCGGGTGGCACTGCAACGGGCCCGGTGGTCTTGGCGACAGCCACTGCGTCCTTCGCGACCGCGTCCTTCGCCACAGCGTCCTTGGTGGTGGCAGCCGCGACCACGCCGGGGCCCTTGATGGTAAGGATGATGCGAGGCCTGCCTGCTTTGTCGTCGTCCTTCTTCGAGTCGGTGTTGCTGCCCTCAGGCTTGACATCCGCCTCGGCCTCCTTGTTCTTGACGGGCTCTTCGACGGGCTCCTTCTTGGTTTCGTCCTTGGACTTCTCGTCGTCGGAGTCGTCGCGGAACTCGTACACGTCGGCGAGCTTGCGGCTGGCGCTGTCGTTGCCACCACGCACCCTGGTGCGCCCGCGGCGTGCCGTGGCCGGGGCCTTGGGGTCCTTGCCGTCCTTGGCGTCCTTGGGCTCGTCCTTCTCGGCCATGCCCTGGCGACGCCGCGTCGTCACGCCCTGCTGAGATGGCGTCGCACCCTGCGCCGCGGCCGCGCGCGTGTTGCGAGTGCTGCGCGCGTTGCGCCGCGGCGCCCTTCGTCCGCGACTGCCTCCCTGCTCTTCCTTGTCCTCGTCGGAGTGGTGGTCGTCGTGGGTGTCGGACAGGTCGGCGTCATCCTTGGACTCGTTGAGCGACGACGCGGGCGTGGCGGGCGACTTGGCGGCGTTGCTGTCCACCGAGGCTGGCCCGTGCGGCTGCTTCTTGTCGTTGTCGACCAGCTCTGCGGCGGAGCTAGCCGTGGTGGAGGGCGAGGCGCTAGCCGCTGACGCCACGGTGGGACTCTTGGGCAGGTCTTCCCGCAGCGAGGCGGGCTCCAGCTTGTCACGATTCAGTGGCGACACGGCGGCCATGGTGGACAGCGGCGAGCGGCTGGCGAACTCCTTGGCCAGTGGTGACACCTCCAGGGTCTCAGCCGCGGTGGCCGTGATGCTGGGGCTTCGGGGGCTGCGGGGGCTGCGCGGCGAGGTGACTGCCAGCCAGCGTTCGCGCTCCTGCTCGGCAGTCAGGTGGTGCATCCAGGGCGACTGCCTGTTGCCATTGTCCTTCTCCTTGAGGGCCGACGCGCTAAGCTTGTCTAGCCACGCGTCGGACATCTTGTCGGTGTCGGGGATCTTGGCCTCCAGCCACGGCATGTTCTTCTTGTCGCGTTCCTTGTTGGCCACCAGGTGCGCCAGGTGCACTTGCTCCACGGGCGTGGCCACGGGAGCGGCTGCCAGCCACCCCTTGCTCTCGTCCTTCTCGAAGGCGAGCGGCCAGGGCTTGGACTCGGCCTTGATAGTCTCCTGCACCTTCTCGGCCGAGAGCCACGAGGCGGCCGACGGCTCCTCCTTGAGCGCCGGGCTGGGGCTGGGGCTCTTGGCCCGCTCCATGGGCTTGACCGCCAGCCACGGCCGCTCTGGCTCGCTGGCGCGCTCCGTGTGCCACGGTGAGTTCTTCTCCGGGTCGCTGGACGTCGAGTTGGTGGCGGCGGAGGCGGGGGCCGCAGCCGCAGCGCCAGAGGCGCGCGCGTCGAACCACGCCTTCTCCGTCGCCTTGTCGCGCCGCTTGTCGGCTGTCTCGTCGTCCTTGGAGCACAGCGCGTCCACGGTCTTGATGACGGAGTCGATGTTGACCTCCTTGGACCAGAACTCGTCCTTAGTGTCGATGGGCGAGTCACACTTGATCTGGCTCTTGGAGGGGCCTTGCGACGGCGTCGTCTTGACTGGCGAGGGCGCGGAGGGCATGGTGGGCTTGATGTCGTCCTCGACGATGCACAGCGCTCCCTCACCCTCGTCGTCGTCCTTGTCGCTGTCCGGCTTGGCTTCCTCCTGGGCGCGCTTGGGGCTGCGCCTGGGGCTGGACGCTGCGGCGTGCACCGCGCTGTCCACCGCAGGCGTCGCGGTCGGAGACATGGCCGCCGGAGACATCGCGCCGGGGCTCGACGCCATGGAGTAGGGAACCTTCCCGGCCTGGAAGGCTGTGTTGACGGCGAGCACGCCAGGCTGGTAGGGGCTCGGAGGATGGACGCCGAGTTGATGAACGCCAGGATGGTGAGCGCCAGGTAGATGCATCCCTGGTTTGAGGACGCCAGGTTGGTGAAGCCCTGATGGGTGGGCGCCAGAGATGTGAATGGCCGGCTGCTGAGCACCAGTTTGGTGAACAACGAGCGGCCCCGAGGGCGCCATGTGGCGCATGAGAGGCTGGTGGGGCATGGCAGGCTGGCTGGGCCGCACACCGCACACCGCGTTGACGAACCTCGGCCCCATCGGCATCACGTGGTTGGGCTTGCTTCCCGCGAGGGCCTGCGTCGTCGTCATCATGGGTGGAGTGGCGGTGGCTGGAGTCACGGTGGTTAGCAGGCCGGCAGCGGACGCGGCCGACGCGGCCGAGCTGGTGATGACGCTCGTCGGCGTGGGCTGCGGCGTCGGCATCCTCAGGCCGGGCGGCGAGACGATCTTGGGGGCCACGGTGCCGACCGCGTGAGGCGACTGCAGGCCGGCGTCCATCTTGTACAAGACTTGCGGCCGCGGCGAGGCGTGCGGTGAGGCCTGAGGCGAGGCGTGGGGCGACACGAGGGGCGAGACGTGGGCCGAGGCGTTGACCACGGCGTGCTGGGGCCGCGGCTGCGGCCCGAGGCGGCTGGTGATGACGGGCTGCGGCACCACGGTGGGCACCACGCCGCGGACCACGGGCATCGGCACTCCCCTGGGCACGGCCTGCGGCAGGGCCTGGGCCTTGTTGTTGACGAGTGGGTGCGACGGCGGGGTCGGCGCCAGGGACGTCCCGGGCGGCGCCACCACGGTCGTCTTGGGGTGCGGCGGCGTCGCCAACGGATGCGTTAGCCCCGGCTTGTGCAATGGCGGCAAGGGTTGCGGTGCCGCCGCCAGGCCAGGGCGGACCACGTGCACGACGGAGAGCCCAGGCTGGTAGTTGGGCATGGTCTTGATCGGCAGAGCATTGGGCTGGGTTGACGGCTTGTAGTGAGGATGGGGCGCTGGGTGGCTGTTGACTACAGGCTTGGCCAACATGGGCGCGACCACGGTGCCCTTGATGACGGTGTTCTTGGAGGGCGAGGCCTCGCGCAGAATGGGCTCGCGGCGCAGGGCAGCGTCCAGGTCGACGGGTGACTTGAGACCGGTATTGTGGTTGGCCTCTACCTTGACGACCAGTGGCTTCATGGGCTGGGCCAGCGGCGGTGGGCTCGACAGGCGTGGAACCGGAGTCTTGGGGGCATCCTTGACGTCCAGCTTCACCTGCTCGGGCAGCGCGTCGTGGCGGACTTGGGCAGGGGCCGCAGTGATGGCGGTGCCTGGCTCCGTCTTGGGCACCAAGGTGGGCGTGGTGGCGTGGAGCAGGCCGAGGGGCTTGTCGAACAGCTCGGGCTTCACCTCGCTGGCGGCCTTGGGTGACGACAGGCGGGCCGTCGAGGCTGGTGACGCCGCGGCCACGGGAGGCACTGGTTCGTCCGGCTCCAGCTTGGGCAGAGCGGGCGGCGAGGGCCGCGAAGACGACGACGACATCGCCAAGTCGGAGATGCGCTCCATCAGCCCCTCGCTGGGCACGGCCTTGGTGGCCTTGCTCTTCTCGGCGGCTCGCTCGGCCTCGTCGGCGGCCTGCTGTTGCAGCTGTTGCTGGCGGTTGTAGTAGGACGCTGGCAGGTCCGGCGTGCGCGGCGGCCGGCTGAAGTCCATGGAGGTGTCCGTCGTGCTGAGCGACCGGTCCAGCGAGCCGGGCACACTGAGGCTCGAGTCAGCCTCCGTCTCTTCGGTGTCCGTGTCGATCTGAAGGTCGTTCTCTGACTGGGGTGTCTCGGGCTTCATGCCCAAACTGTCCACGGCCTGAGCCGTCTCCTCGTCGGCGTCCTCATCCGCCACCACCTCATTGTCGTAAGAGCTACCGTGCTCGCCGAAGTCGTCGCTGCTGGCGCCGAAGGTCTCCTCCAGCAGGGCGGCCACGGCGTCCTCGGTCTCCTCCTGCGAGATAACCAGCTTGTTGTCCTCCTTGTGCCTGATGTCCTGCAAGCCCTCAGGCTGCGACTGCGACGGCAGCTGGTCCCGCACGGGGGAGAACTGCTCGATGCTCTTGACAGCCGTCTCGTGGATGTTCTCGTCGTTGAAGGGGATGAGGAGCTTCTTGGCGGTGGACGGCGACAGGGCCGCGGCAGTGGCGGCGCCTGCAGGCGGTGGGCTGAGGCTGGGCAGCGAGGGCATGGACAGGTCCGGCAGACTGGCCACTGCACTGGGAGCGCCAGGGCTGCCGGGCGCCTCCACGTCCGACTTGACTTCGGCCGGGCTGGGCGTCGACGTGGACACCTTGCGGTCGGGCGACATGGCCTTGTCGCGGTCGCGCTCGCGTTCCCGATGGTGGTTGTGCTCCCGGTGGTGGTGGTGATGGTGGCGGTTCTGCTTCTCTTCCTTGGACTTCTTGCGCTTCTTGCGCTTCTCCTTGTGCGCCACGGCGAGCGGCTCGGCCAGCGCCTCGGCCTTGTCCTGCTGGGCCTCGCGGCTCTCCTCGCCCTCCGTGAACTGGAACACGTCCAGGCTGTTGGCGGAGGGCAGCGAGGCGGAGGACAGCGGCTCCGCCTTGATGGGCGACAGGCTGGCCAGGCTGGGCAGGTCGTCGTTGAGCAGCTTGGCCTCCAGGGCCTTGCCGGCCTCGTCCAGGGCCTTGCGCTCGCGCCGCTTCTTCTCCTTGCGCTTGTTGCGGGCCAGGGCCTGCGCCTCGCGCTCCACCGTGCTGGGGCCGGTCGAGTCCGAGTCCGAGCCGTACACCTGCGACACCTGCCACTTGGACGGCAGCTTGTCGAAGCGCTGCAAGCTGGCCGAGGCCGGGATCGGCGTGGACGTCGGACTGTGCATCGGCGCGTCGCTGCTGTTGTTGAGCGCCGTGGGCGGCTTGCTGTTCTCCGAGTCCTCCGACAGGGGGCCGAAGATGTACTCCATCTTCTCGTCGCGCTTCACGTTGTTCTCCAGCTTGCGGCCGTGCGCCTTGGCCTTGTCCTTGGCCTCCTCGCTCGCGTCGCCCAGCAGCTTGCTGTGGTTCGACTTCCTGCGCTCCTTCTTGGTGTGCTTCTTCCTCTTCTCCACGCAGTTGGTCAGGTCCGATTTGTCGGGCATCTCCGAGTCGCCGTCCGCAGGGTCCTCGCGGTGTGGTGGACTCTTCTGCTTCTTTTGCTTCTTCTTGTGCGACTTCTTGCGGATGCCGTCCTTGTCCTTGGAGTGGCTCGAGTACTTGCAGTTCTCCAGCGCCGGCGGCGGCGGTGTGCCCTCCACAGTGCCATCGTCCTCCGCGCCGCTGTCGTGGTTCTGCTTGATTCTCTTCTCCAGCTTGAGGCTGTCCATGAACATCTTGGCTTTGGCCGCGTCCATCTGCTTCTGGCGACGGTCCTCGTCGGACGAGTCGGCGATGGCGTTGGTCTTGTTCTTGTACTGCTGGTTGTCGTCCAGCTCGGCGAAGCCCATGTCCACCTCGCTGTCGTCCGAGAAGATGTTGGCGGCCTTGGGCCTGCGCTTGGGGGCGCGGTCGTCCTCGGAGGTGTCGGACACGATGCGCGAGCGGCTGCCCTTCCTGGCCAGCTGGTTGAGGAGGGCCTTGGTCCTGGCGGCGCCTTCGCTCTCCTCCCGCAGCGGGTTGCTCTTGCCGCGGGAGTCCGACTCCGAGTCCGACTTCCTTCTGGAGCCCTTCTTGAGCTTGTTGGTGTCGGATCCAGAAGACTCGCTCGAGCTCGAAACCATGGCCTTGCGCCTGCTCTTGCCGCGGCCCGACTCTGCCGAGTCCGAGTCCTCGTCGTACGACGTGGAGCGCTTCTTCTCCTCGCGCTTGGCCCGGGACTGCTTCAGGGCCGAGAACTTCTCCTTCATCTTTTCCTGACGCTTCTCCTCCTCCTGCTTCTGCATGTTCTTGGTCGAGCGAGCCTTCACCTAAAAGAAAATACAGAGTGTTTTTATCTCAAATAAAACATTCAGAGTAAGTGAAGTATCCATAATGTCACGAAGAACAAATAAAAAATAAAAAAAATAAATCCTTACAATTCTTACCTTGTCATACATCGAGATGTATACAGGACCTTCATCAACAATGTCAAAGATAGAATGCTTTTTAGATTGTCCATTTTTGTCATCATCAGAGCCATCAGTATCAGTACCAGTGAGAAAGTTACCTTCCCGCCTTCTAGCATTCTCCTTCCTTTTCTTTTCTTCTTTACGAAACTCACCACTGTTTCGCTTTTCTTTTCTTGAGGATCTGCCTTTCTCATCTAGACTTTCACTGCTGCCAAAATCTGGGCTCATATCCTGTGGAAACAGAAGTAAAAACAAGAACAAAAAAAAATATCATTACACATGTAAATACAATAAAAAGAACATACATAATAAAAATAGTAACAGACAAAACACGCACCTTTAATTCCTTAGTTTCTGATTTAGGAGTTGGTATTTCATCATCAGATTCCAATTCCTCTTTAACAGAATTGATTTCAACAGGTGTTCGAGGCTTCTTCTTCTCCTTTGGTGTCTTGTCAAGTTTCTGTAGGTTGAACTCCTCAGCTGGGTTAAGATGTCGCTCACCAGAGCTGCGTTTACTGCTGCCACTACTGCGGCCGCTGTCTTTGGAATCTCTTCGTTCTGGTGGCGTTTCACCAATGGGGGCAAGTTTGATTCTCTTGCAATCATCAGGAGTGCCTTCTACACTATCCTGAGAGCTGACTCGCCTCTTGCCTCCAATTGGAGCAGGCAACGGAGCAGCAGATCTTTCTGCTTTCTCAAGACGCTCTTTTCTTTCTTTGCGCTCCTTTCTCCGTTCTTCAGATGACTGTTTCTCCTTACGTTTCTCAGAGACATCGTCAATATCAACATTATCAGCAACAGTCACCTCAGCAGCAATCTCCATGTGGTGATCTTTGTCAAAGTCCTTCTTTCGCTCCGTTTGTGAATCAATTGAGTCTCGCCTTCTTTCAGGGAACTTTTCAAGAAGAACTTCTGTTGCATCCTTCTTTTTGTCACCTGAGGAGTCAACATGAGGATGCCTGATGTCATCTTTCCTATCACTGGGCTCTCGTCTCTTCTCAATGAGAGTTTCGCTTTTCTTTTCTGCCTCAGAATGTCTTCTTTCCGAGTCATGGTGTCTGCGGTCAGATGACAAACTGCTGCTGGTAGAGTCACGAGATTCTCTCCTCTCCACTGAATGCTGACTATGACCATGGTGTCCATGACTGTGGTCTCTATGACCATGGCCATCTCGATGACTGCTGTGGTGACCATCTCTGTGAGTGCTGTGGTGACTATGGCTATGCTTTCTCTCAGACGTTTCAGTAGATTCTCTCTTTCGTTCAGAATGAGTATCTTCCTTCCTGCGATCATGTTCCCGATCATGTTTTGATTCCGAGGAGTGTTTCCGGTCAGACACATCAATGGAATGTTTACGATCTGACGAGCCATCAACAGTTTCTCTTCGCCTCTCGATGGTTTCATCCCTTTTCTTGTCTGAAGGGCCATCGGTGGTGTGTCTTCTTCTGTCAGAAACTGAATCATGCTTATCATCCTTCTTACGTTCCTCCCTTTCTCTTTGCCTCTCAGCATGCTTCTCACCATCTTTGCTTTTCTTCTGTTTCTCTGGATCTCTTTGTTTGTCAGTTTCTCTTCTGCGATCTGCTTCTTTCTTCCTAAGTTCCTCCTCTCTCTTTTTATCCATTTCCTTTTGTTTTTCTAGTTGTCGATCATGATCTTTTTGCCTCTCCAATTCCTTTTGACGTTCTTGTTCCTTTAGCTTTTCTAGTTCCTTCTGTCTTTCTAACTCTTTTTGTTTTTCTAATTCCTTTAATTTTTCAATTTCTTTTTGCTTTTCCAATTCTTTTTGCCTTTCTTGTTCCTTCTGCCTCTCCAGTTCCTTCAGTTTCTCTTCCTTGAGCCTTTCGATTTCCTTTTGACTCTCTAGTTCTTTCTGCCTCTCAAGCTCCTTCTGCCTTTCAGCTTCTTTAGCTTCTCGGAGACGCTCTTCTTCCTTCAATTTTTCTTCTTCCTTTACCCTCTCCAACTCCAGTTCCTTCTTCCGGTCAATTTCAATTTGCTTTTCTGTTTCCTTGGGTCGTTCAACTTCTTTTAATTTATCACAGGATTTTTCGGCTTCCTTGAGGGAATTTTCCTCCTTCAGCCTGTCATCTTTCAACCTTTCTTCATGCCTCTCCAGCCTATCAGCTTCCTTCTTCTCTTCCTTCCGTCTCTCATACTTGTCAGCAGAAGAAGTGCTCTCTTTTCTTTTCTCATCCCGATGTCGGTCACTCTTGTCAGACGATTCTTTTCTTCTTTCAGACTTCTCATCTTTTCTTCTTTCATCCCTACGCCTGTCAACATTTTTCTCACTGTCTCTTTTTTCGTCCTTTCTTCTGTCAAGAGATGAGGTGAGAGGAGAGCCTTCTTTGCCTTCTTTCTTTTCTGAATGGTGTTTGCGAGATCTATCCCTATCAGAGCTTTCCAAGGAGTCACGTTCTTTACGACGGTGGTTTTCTGTGTCCTTATCTTTTCTTCTGTGCTCTTTGTTGTCCATAGAATTTGTTCTCTCTCTCCTTTTCTCTGATTCAGGTTCACTGTTTCTTCTGCTGCTGACTGTTGCAGGAACTTCTTTGCGGTCTCTCTTCTCGTCACTTTTGTGTTTTGAGCTTTTCTGATTGTCACCGCTGCTGGAACTGGTGGTACTGGTACTAGACGAAGCCGACTCTCTTCTTGAAGGAGCTGATACTTTTGAAAAAGCATCTAATTGCTTCTCTTTGGGGCTTTGTGAAGGTGACGTAGTTGGAGAAGATAAAGAATCTTTCTTAATGCTTAACTTAGATTGCGATAAACTAATATCCTTTTTAGGTAATGACTTAGAGATGTCTGCTGAAGGAACACTTGGAGGTGAGGGAACTGGAATGGCGTTTGTAAAGGTTGACGTTACAACTGTGGGGGAGGCTGTTGTAACAGTCAAACTTGACGTCATGGTTGCATCTACACTTGAACTTGCACTCAAAGGTGGCGTCACTAATGTCCGCGTTGATTCAACACTAACGGGAATGTTTCTACTTGCTGGCGAAGAAGCATTTAGTCTCGTGGGAATGGAACTAGCACACACTTGACCACTGCCGCTCACGCTCACACTCTTTGGTAAATTCTCCTGTTTGGAAGAGGCTTCGAGCGCCGCCACACGCGGAGGACTTGCCGCAGCACTCGCTGATAATCTTGATCCTTCCGGGGAGGCCAGCCCCGGGAAGGCGTTGTTGGACGCCGTGGAGACCGACGTCCTGGTGGCTTCGGGTGACGGCGTGTTACCAGAGCACGCCGTCACGGCCGTGGTGGGCGATGACGAGCTGGCCATCTTGGTCAGCCTGGGGTCCGAGCCAGACACGCAGGCCGTCACGCCGCCCATGGACGGCGAGCTGGCGCTAGGCACGGCGGACGGCACGCCGACGCGCGGCGACGACGACGCCAGCGCCTCCGCCGATGTCGACGTCGACGGCGTCGCAGGAACAGGCGTCGTCACCACTGTCAGCTTGAGCCTCGCCGACGCCGAGGTCTCCGGCGACGCCGGCCTGCTCGTCGTGGGCGTGGTGGACGCCGACAGGGACGTGGCGGTGATGGAGGCGGTGGTGACGACACTCAGCAGCCCCACGCTCGACGAGCACGTGGAGGCCGAGGCCGAGGTGGAGGGTGTGGGCGATGCCACCGAGGCGGCGGGCTGGACGGACGAAGTGGGCGGGTGGCTGGGGAAGGGGTACTGCAGGCCGGGGGTCTTTGGTATTGAGATCGACACAGGGAGCTTGTTCAACGCCGGCGTGCCTGGCGAACCGGAGCAGGTGGCGGAGGCCGTCTGCACGGTGGGGCTCATCGGCTTGGGGTTGGTGGACGCCGCGGCCGCACACAGAGGCGACTTGGCGGCGATGGCGGAGAGGCTGGGCGTCGTTGCCGGTGCCGCGGACAGCGGCGACGACAGCGGCGAGGAAAGCGGCGAGGGGAACAGGCCCGCCTTGCCGGACGGCGAGATGGGCCCCTTGCTGAGCGGGTCCCCCAGGCTGGGCAGGCTGGGCAGCCCCGCTATCCGCAGGGCTCTGGTCGCCGGCACAAACTCCTTGGGCTCGTACTTGTCGCTCACGTTCTCCAGCCGCTTCGAGTCCTCGTCGAAGACGGACCGCTTGGCCAGGACTAGACTCACGATCTCCGACGGCCTCATGCCAGGCAGGTCGAAGTCGAGACACTTGTGCTTGGAGCGCAGCCGCTCCGTCACCGAGTTGTCCACCTTGGACAGGGTGTCGCCGCCCGACGCGCAGATGGCCCTGGACCCCGTCCACTGCTCGTACATCTTGTCCAGCGCCTTGACGCGCTCCTCCAGGGAGTGGTCGGTGGTGGGCGAGTGCTTGGGCGAGTTGAGGTTGCCGCCGTCAGAGTCTGACGACGAGGGTGACGGCGCGCAGGGCGGCCTTCGCGACGGCGGGGGCGACGCTGGCGGCGGCACCGGGCTCGGGTTGGGGCTCGGCACCGGCAGGGAGACGGGCTTGGGGGAGGTCACAGCCGGAGGGGAGGAGATAGACGACAGCTTGGCGGCTGCCGACTGTCGGGGAGGGAACTGCATCTGGGCGGCAAACCTACACAGAAGAAACCAGTTTGTTAGCGAGCCACACTAGAAGGGAAAGTCATATTATTATCAAACAGAAACCATGGGGTTTACCTTGGCAGGGGTAGTGACAGAGGTACATCATTTAATCGTTCTCGAGGTCTTCTAGGCTCTGTTGGTAAAATATTTTCTGGCCTTTCATCAAATAAAGGAGTGCCTGGTCTTGAGTTGTCTCCAGATTCATTCCCACTAAGAACTGTGACATCATTGTTATGATGGTGATGATGGTGATACCTTCTTTCATCAGTTTCTGAAGTAGAGCTACCAGTTTTTCTTCTTTTGCAGACAGGGTGAGGGGAATATATTGAACAATGCTTGCCACTATCCGTGGACTGCCGCCTCCCACAATGCTTGCCTCCTTCCGATAACCTTCTAACTTCAGACACACTTCTCCGATGGTTGTGAAGGGCATCACAGATAACTTCAGTATCATCTACCCGTACCTAAAAGCCCAGGGAAAAAAAGAAAACGTTAGTCAGAAATAATTAAGGGCAGCAAAGGCAGATCAGAGACATACATTCTAGTAGTACATACCCTCTTCCTCGGAAATGTTGCCTCTGAACCCGATGAATCTCCATCATCCAGCTGATCCAACTGATGCTGAATGTGCATTCTTTCTTTTTGTAATGTTCTAAGCTCGCCCTGTGGTGGGTGGCCATGGTGTGGGTGAGGGTGATGTTGACTAGGGTGGGGAGCGTGTGGATGTGGATGGGCCGGAACTGGCTCACTCACCACCACACTCTGCAGGCGTTTTGAGTATTCATTCTCACTTGCAGCACCACTCTCCCCACCTCCCCGTAGACTTGGGCTGCCTTCATAGCCATCCGAGTGGCCACTTGCACCTCCGCTTCCCTGGGAAAACTCATCGTAGCTCCTGGAAGCAAATAGAAACCTTGACTTAGACCCCGATTCAAGAAATTCTGGTAGCCCTGTCTAGAACAGGATACTCCAACGCACCTATACCTCCTGTCTGTGAATTCAGAAGCATTGGGAGCATCGAAGAGCTCATATCTTTGGGAAGACCTAGGTGTTCTGGGAACCACTCTTGTGACACCCACTGGGGTCGAGGATCCACTGGGAGTGACATTGCCACTCGTTGAACCAGGTGTCCCACTTCTAGAGTAGGAGGCTGTTCTTTGCCGTTGTGGAGTAGCCTCAAACCGGGAGAATCTTCCAGCCGTGACAACAGCAGTTTCAAACCTAGCAGCAGGGGCAGCTCTGAAAATTTGGGATAATAATAGTATCAGAACCAATGTTAACTCATTATGACTGAAATGAGGATAAACTAAAAATTTAGACAGGTACATAATGTAGATATCTTAGACAAGCTGTGACTTACGTTGAATCATAGGGAGTTTCTCTCCAAGCTCGGTCTGTGGACCCTTGCTTTTCCATGTGAACAAAGAAAGCATCTTGACATTCTCTTGACGCAAAGTCAATTTGAACTTTACGACCCCTAAGGTTAACTCCTCGCATTTCTTTCACAGCCATCTGAGCTGCTAACACCTGGAGGAAAAAGAATCATTGATTTGTAGGACAAAGTTGAAAGTAAGGAGATAAGTACCTAAAAACAGGATTAAATTAAACCAATGATGGCGTAACTTACTTGTTCAAAGAAAATAAGGGCATATCCACGTTCTCGGTCAACAGAAACTTGAGTGATTGCACCAAATTGGTTGAACTGCAGATTCAGGTACTTTTCTTGAACATTATCGCCCAAACCACCCACCCATACACAATTGGTCTGCATTGACTTGCCAAAACCAAGTTTTATTCTATTGCTTCCTAAGTGCTCGCCATCAAGGCTGCGCATAGCTTTAACAACACTACCAATATCAGCAAACTGACAAAACGCATAAGATGTAGCGCCGCCTTGCTTTTTAATATCAATTTCCTAAAAAAGACAAGCAGAAGCAGTGAGTGCAGATATACACCACAAACAGGAACTCAATATGACAAGTAGATTACTTACAATAATTTCTCCAAATTGTTCAAAATGTTTCCGGATTTCTGATGGAGAAATATCTTTTTCCAAATTTCCTATGAATAATGTTCTAGTGGCTTTTGGGTGGTATTCGTCCAATTCAGCTTCATATGGTCTAAATTCATTGTCATCTACGTCGTAACCTTGGTAAGCTGCTACTTCTATTTTGCAGCCAAAGAACAGTTTGTTATGGGATTCCTCAAGAGCCTTTTCAGCATCCTCAGGCTTTTTGAAGCGAACCAGTGCATATCTGTCTTCGGCCTGGCCAACCACTTTTACACACGTGACTTTCCCATGTTTCTTATATTCATGAAAAAGACCGTCTTTCAAACTTGTATCTGAAAGAAACCACAATCACAAAATTAGACATGGACCAGAAAAACAACAACCACCTCAACAATAGCACCAATCTACTTACCACTAGATCTGATCGGTAAATTTCTAACACATATCACAAGCGGTCTCGTGTCATCACTATGGTTCGAGGAGTTATTCTGGTGAGGGGCGCTAACAGCTGACTGGACTGTGCTCCCTAGTCTGATAGACCCTCTCACACTTCCGTGATGACTCGACCCGACCGATCTGAAAAAACAAACACTGCCATACATACACGACCACATCCACCACGCAACTTTTACCGACAGTTTCGGTTTCTCCAAGAAAGTTTCGAGGTTGTACCTGTGCGGGGACACAGACTTGTCCGAGCCTGGGCTGGACGAGGCCGAGCTGCAGCTGCTCCCGCTGGAGTCTCTGGACGACGCGCTGGAGGGGCTCCGCGAACGACTCCGAGACCGACTCCGCGACCGACTCCGGCTGGACCCCGACTGGGATCGGGAGTGGGAGCCCGACTCGCTGCCCGACCTGTGTCGGAACAGGACACGCGTCATCACCTCCCCATCGCGGCTGCGAACACCACATTCCGTCAATGAGATACAAGCACAAAGAGATACAACACAAACACAAAAACAACACACAAACACACACACGAAAATTAAGGGCAGGTGGGACGAAGGTAAAGGTTACTTTAAAAGATCGAAATCACTCTGCTGCGCTTGCTCAAGTGAGAGCTCATATTTTTCTCCTGACACTCAAGGACAATCACATTGAGAGAAACGTCAGTGAAAATAGTTCAGAGCCGATACAGGCATCATCTGCGCTTCAGTCCAAGCTGCATGTAGCCATTCAAAGCACAGGCAGAGCGAGAAAGAGAGAGAGAGGGAGATAGACAGGAACAAAATCACAATAAGCATAACAACAAAATGCAAGTAAATGTCACAGGCAAAGTTTAAATTAACAAAATAAAGTGCATTAATACAAAAACAAAACAAAAAAGAGCCCATACGGCACCATGAAAGAGTATCCAACAGCTAAAATCAAGTTCCCACCCGGTCGGGGCCAGAGTACGACAAAATTATAAAAAGCCACCACAGACATTACTGACCAAAATTCAACAACTACTACAAAGCTAAAACAAATTCCGAGATTTTGTTTTTAAAGGCAGTCAACAAAACAATCAACAAAAGAAAGTAACGAGAAGACGAGTGCTCTGAGGCTGCGGAGGCGCAAGCGCCAAAGCTCCAGCACCGTTGGCGACTCGGCGGACGCCACTGCCTCCGCGACCACCCCCAGGGCGCAGGGTCCCAGGGCGCCAGGGCCGCCACCAGGCGAACTAGGGCGTCCTCCAGGGCACTACACGCCTACTCCACTCACCGTGATTTCGACGACCGCTTCTTGTGGACCTCCCTCCGGATGGCGTCCTCCGCGTACCCGTCCACCGTCGCCGGCGCCGCCCCGGGCTGCGGCAGCTGCGGCGTGTACCGGCTGTTGGGCGTGCCGTCGTACGGGGTCCATGCACCCGGCGGGGGGACCCGGTGGTGGGCGGCAGGGGATCTACTGCAAAACCAGAACAGGGCAGTCAGCACACCGTCAACGAGAAGGGCTGACATTGGGTGGCCTGCATTGCAACAGGCAAAGTCAGCTTCAGTCCAAAGTAGTTACCTTTCTAGGATGGGGTTGAACGGCGCCGGGCCGTGGGCTGGGCCGTGGGCCGGTCCGTGGGTCGGTCCGTTCCGGTGCAGCCTCTCCCGCGTCCTGCCCCTCGGAAAGGGCAGGGGCGCCAGGGGACCCAGGGGACCCAGAGGGGCAGCCTCTACGGGGACGTGGTAGGCCGCGCCCGGCCCGGGCCTCCTGTTGTACGCCTCGCCCTCGACCACCGCCCCGCGACCCCCGCGCTCGTAAAAATGACTAGACCGGTCGAACGTGGGGAGGTCCTCTGGAGGCCTGCAAACACACACACACACGCACAGGTCAAATGCATGCAATCGATGCGTCGCCAACAGACACAGGGCAAACTCGGCCCCATTCCCCCCGCGACACTGGAAAGGAAAGTCCCCGGCCGCTGCAAGTCGAGCAGCGCGCTGGGAGGGATGCACACCTCCACCCTCACTGGTCATACTGCGAGTGGGAGCTTGGGAGGCTCTTCTCCACTGGGATAAAGTTTCACCTTAGTAAGGACGGCCATGTCTCGTTTTGCAGTGCAGGCGAGCATGTGTCGGGCCCGAAATGGCATACGATCGGTAGTGGTCTAGCCCGTAATGGCAATGGTAATGAGCCAGCGAGCGCCTGCGGCGTAGGCAGCACCCGCGCACGGCTGCACGCGGCACCCGGCGGCGGCCTACCTGCAGGGCGCTCCCCGCCGCGCCGAGCCAGGGCCTGGAGACGGAGTCCCGGCCCCGGCTGCAGCGGCAGCGACGCCCCCACCCACCCAACAGGCCACGAGGCTGGGCCACCAGGCCGAGCCACCAGGCCACCCCGCCAAGAGCATCACCCAGCGCAGCGAGCCGCCGCTGTGACCTCGCCCCACCAAAGGAAAAACGAAGCCATCCCCGATTGGAAATGAAAGTAAAAGAATGGGGCACCTGTCCGGGCAGGCCGGAGTGGGGCGCTGCTGGCTCGCGCTGGCCTTGGCGACCCCCTCCCTCCCCATCCCGGCCACACCGCACCACACCGCACACGCTGCCACGCACACGGCCCAAGCGTCCACGCAGTCCACGCGGCCTGCGAATCGGTGTATTTATCATCAGGCGCTTTATGGAACCCGGCTCCGTCCTTGGGGCCGCCGGGCGGGCCGGCAGAGGCACGCCACGCTTTGCGCTGCTCGCCGCGCGTTGCCAGATCTCGCTCCGCCAAATACTGCGGAATACCAGCGGCATTCCCTTTGCGCTCCATAAAGCACGCCGTCGACGCGGTCCGGGCGAAAGTGCAGTCCGAGGCCGCGCTCCAAGCTCCGCGCCCCGTACGTACCACCACGACGACGGCCAGGCAGGCCACGCAGGCCACGCACCCGGCGGACGGAGCGGGCACACGTGGCGTCGTCCTGGCGTCGCCGTCCTCCTCGGCGAAAAGGGACTTTGGCACGATAAACATCTCTGTTGGCGCAGCGCCACGCAACGCCGCGCCACGCAAAGGGTAAATATTTTTCATGGCCAAAACGTCCCCCGCGTCCGCCACGGGCACCGCCACAGTTTCCGTCCTCCGGGCCGGGGCCCCGGGGCTGGGCCCCCACGCCCGGCCCGCCTGCAAAATAGCCCGGCCGCCGCGCGCAGAAAAAGGCAAGGCGGCGCCTATTCAGCGAAATTCGCGGAGCGTCTTTCGGCCAACGTCCCTCACATCTCATTGAGCACGAATGTCCGCCAACGCCCCCTTTTTCATGTCGTTTGCCTTTTCTTTATTTTTCATGTTTTTCAGACATGAGCGTAAGCAACGGCGTGTGTAGGGTTGTGGGGGGCGGCGACACTGCCGGCGACACTGCCGGCGACACGCGTCCAGCAAAGCCGCAGGCCGATTCACAAAGTGTCGCTCTGTCTCTCTCGCACCCGCGCGACGCTCCACAGGGACACACTTGCCGCATGTGAGCATTGATAGAGCATTAGGCGGCCGACGTGACACAGGCGGTGCTTGACGCGCTCCTCGCGCATGCCGCTTGGCCCGCGAAGTCACGTGGCGGCTCGCTATTTCCGTAGCGCTGCCGCCACGCCGCCGGGCCGCCGCGGCAAACTGCGCACCAGAGAGCGAGAGAGAGAGAGAGAGAGCGACAGAGCAAGCGAACCAGCGAGCGAGCAGGGCCCAAGCGCACAGTCACGGTGCCACAGTGCGCTAGCAGTGCGCTGGCCCTGTTTCGCCTCCACGACGCCGCGCTGCGGAGCGCTGCGGAGCGCCCGGCCCGGCGACGCCGCTAGAACGCCAACGTGGCGGGCCGTCCTCGCCGTCGCCGTCCTCGATCTGCCTCCCGGCGGTCCGGCCGTCCGGCCCGGGTCAACACTCGCTACATTGAGGGCGACAAGACAGCTGCACGCGTCCACGTCAACGCCGCGGCCCGCCCGCCCCGCCAGCCCCGCCAGCCCCGCCACTGGACGCCAAGCGACGCGAGGTCAAATTAATTGAGTCCAGACATGATACGGGCCCCGTATGGACGAGGGGAGCGGGCGGCGCGGCGGCGGCGCGCTCGGAGGTCCGCGGGAAGGCCTGAACATGTCGACCAGACAGGTGACAGCGTTCGCAGGTTCAAATATGCAGCATTCGGCATCCCCGACATGACCCCCTTCAACGCCGAGCACGCCGAGCCACCTGTGTGGTGGCGCCCCGGTGCGCGGCACGGCCTGGTCTCCAAGAGACACACCGTCAGACACTCCGTCGGCCGGGCAGGCCAGGCAGCTCGGAGACTGGATGCCATTTAAATTTGGCTGGCAGCAACAGCCCCGGCCGGCGGCGGCGGCTGCACGGCCGCGCTCGCGTCGAAGGCACGTCCACGACTGCGACGGCCAGGCTCTGCCAGGCCCAGCCGGGCCGGCCGAGCGCTGAGGCGCTGAGCTGGCGGCTGGTTCGCCCCGCCACCGCGGCATCTCCACTCCACCGCGAGCCGGGCCTTGTCGAGCAGAGTCAGGCCGCGGGGCCGCGGGGCCGGGCTGCACGACCCGGTACGACCGAACCACAGCAGCCCGCCCCGCCCCGTACTACAGCCGCGCCGTAGACGCGACGAAGGGGCCCAGGCCGGGCCGAGCGGGGCTGAGGGCCCTGGGACCTGAACAAGACCGCCCTGCATTGATCCACCACCCCTTGAGCCCCCACAGCCCCACGGACCCCACGGCGCTGCAGCCCGCCGGCCCGCCCCAGCCCAGCCAGTCTGCACACCCGGCACAGCCCAGTTCGGTCCAGTCCAGCGGGGACGCGACGCGACGAGACCCAGTCCGGAAATACACCAACGCCCTCACACGGCGGCGCCATGGCGGCGCCCGACCTCGACCCAGGTCGACCCCACCGGCAAAAAATAGAGAGGGAAGCCGATACTCGATCCCCCGACCCACTGCCATGCCGACGTCACGCCCAAGACAAGCTGCCGCCACGCGCTGGGCCAAATTATGGAAACGGCAACGCCAAAAGAATATCGGCCAGACGACACGGAATGCCGCGATCCGCCGAGGCACAGAGAGAGAGAGAGAAAAAAAAAAGCGCGTTTGTGCGAGAGAGGAAGCGACAGAGAGAGACAGGGAGGGAACCGTTTTATTCAGTCACAGACGCAGTGCGCCGCCCTTCTTCCCGACCATTAGAACGCAGTTTCTCTCTCCCCCATTCCACCTGAAAGGCACTGCGAGGCACTGCGAGCTAGGCCTTTCTCCCTGCTCCTCTTCCCACCCGTCCTTTCACGTCAGCCATCTCGTCTCGCCAGCGCCACAGTCGCGGGTTCAAATCCCCACAAATTTCTTTCCTTTTTTTTTTCTGTTTCCTTTTAGTGCTTTTATTCTGTTAGGCTAAGAAACAAGAAGAAAAAGCACTCCGTGCTCTTGCGGCCTGCGGCCCTTGCTTCGAGATTTGACCTTGGATCGTCGGCCCGATTATTGCTGTCGCAACCAAGCCAAGTTACTGAAGTCTTCGACCGGCCGCCCGTCTCTCTCGCACTCATGAGGCGTGCGCCTCGACGAAGCGCTGGTCGGAATCAGTATGAAGGCGAATCTGTCGCGGCGTCACGGCAAGCCGCGCCAAACCAAAACAAATAAAAATCTACAGCGGCACGATAAAGTCCGGCGTCGTGACCGCAGTCGAGGACACGGACGGACGGACAGACAGACAGACACACAGACGGACGGACGGGCGGTCGGACGGACAGACAGACAGACGGACGTGCCGGATGGAAAGCCGCAGCCCTTTTTATTTCAGTTTTATTCGCCGACGTGGTCGGATCCGGAGGAGGGCGAGGCAGGCGGCGCGGGTACCACGAGAAGGGCAGGGCAGGCCACGCCAGGCCAGTGGTGCCGCTCGCAGGCCAGGATTTAGGGCGACAGCGGCCGGTCCGGCCACACCGGCACATCTACGGCTGCATATTCAATGGGGGGCGGGCAGCCAGCGGCAGCCCGGCCACTATGCACTGTCCTCTCTCTCTCTCTCTCGCACCCGTGGGGCGTTGCTTGCGGGTGCGAGCGCGACAGAGCGACGGCGGACCTGCTCGCTCAACCAGCAGGGCTGCAATCCAGCCCGGTCGGTCTCGGGGGCGTACCTCGACTGCGTCATCGAATGCGGGGGCCGTCCATAAAGCGCAGCTGTGCAGTGGACTGCTTCCGAGAGGCGTTCGTCGCCCTGTCTCTCTCGCACCTATGCGGGACGCCCCATGAGTGCGACAGAGACAGCGACGAGAACGACTCTCGGAATCAGTCTGCAGGCCACTCATCATGGCAGGGTATCAAGAAGTACCCTCACTCTTCTTAAATTAAAACAATCGATTACAAAAGTAGCACAAAGTACTACAGGATGGTTTACCTCGAGTTTACCCCGTCAATTTCCCAGTGGTTTCTTCCGCATGGAGCCCAAAATGGACAGACCCCCCCCCCCCCACACACACACACACACGAGAGCGAACACAAACAAAAGTCAGGGAGATGGTGACAAATTACGGCGGCAGCGTACGTTACCGGAGCAATCACCAAAATCAATTCCACGCAACGACGTCCCCCGAAAAAAAAAGGGCAGGAAGGGGGGAGGGCGACTTGCGACGATTCTTCTGGCGCTCCCCCTCCCCCTTTCAATTTGGCGACGGCCTCTATTTCCGGCGGCACGCGCAAACGACCCGCACGGCGCGCCCCTGGAATATAAACCCATTCCAGGGCGGGGCGGGGCGGGGCAGGGCGGGCGTCATTTCACGGATGTGCGCTGGAAAAATGATGGCCAGATCCCGATTCCGCGCGCGCCATAAAAGTGTCACATCAGAGCCGCGCTGCCGAGCCGCGACA